GACAAGCGTGCACACAACCGCTTGATGGTAGGTGGCCCATAGACAACTACATTTATTTATCCTCAATTAAGAATCAAAATATAGCTGCGTTGTCACCTCTGAGGACTGAGATGGAATGCCTCGATTCCAGTAAAAAGGGGTCTCCGGTTCTCTACACTTACCATATGAAACACCTGCTGTGTTATTCTGTGAGATCGTGGTCCTTCCCTGGTCGTGCCGACCCATTCGTGCTACAATCATAAGATGCAGCGTGGCTCTACCACGTAAAAACTATTATGGTAAATCCCCCAAAAAATGGGAAACACCCGTACTCAGTTGTGGACTTTCGCGGGCTAATGATGAAAAATAAGACTTTTTCAGTCCACTGCTGTATTACAGTATCTTCCGACAGGCGGCAGTTATTTAAAGGAAGTATAAGTAAAAATCTTAAAGCCATAAACCGCACATATATATTAAACTAGAGAAAAATAATTGTGAACGCCTGGTAGAACGAATCATTGGTGCGGTAAAAGTCCATACCGCTGTGGTGTCGGTACTATGATAAAACAATATAACAGGAATATTAAATGATATCATCACTCAACGTGGACTCCATATAAGGAGTAGAAATAACATCTATTTGGTTCAGTAATATCATATTATATTTATAGAAGAAGATACCATTCATGTGGCTCTACCTGGAACCACGTAACACAAACCCTGCCCCCTACCTATGTACCTACGTCACAACCACTATATATAAGTCTCCTCCAACCCAATAAAGAGAGAATTATTAAACTGCATCACTGAGTTTAAATTACTGCTTGTCCAAACATTACACCGCATACTTTATTGCTAGGCCATTTCGAAAGAATGGGCAGTGAAGCAAGCGAACTTGGAAGTGACCGATGGCCAGTCGGTTGTCCCAGGTACCGCTGGATATATGAAAAAGGAAAGCACCTGCTTTCAGATCCGTTACTGTTAGAAGTTATCGCATGACTGGTTTCAGTAGTGTCTTTTATTGTCGGAGGCCAAAACTTATTTTGGGTCACGGGTCACGGCACCAAGTAATTTAGTGAACTGTGTAGCTTATTCATAAAATCAAGTTCAAGTTGAACTAAACTGTACACAGTGTACAAAATTTCATTGCAATCAGTTCAGTAGTTTAGGAGTTCGTCGCGGACAAACAATGTGACACGTAATTTTCTTTTATTTACTTAGCCATCCTATACTGTATTTTATTATTACTCCATTACTATTATGAAGAAGTACCTAGAGATGTTTATAAGCATGTGGAAGTGGAGGGGTCTGAAACTATTGATACGAATCTGAAAATTCTTTCACTGATAGAAAGCTACAATATTCCTTTGTGACATAGACTACTTACTTATATCTTATTATGTTTAAAAATAAGAATTGAAAATAACTTTGCTTTTAACCAGATTTACACAACCATGACTGTTCGCGTTGGTTAGTTCTTAATAAAAACCATACAGAAAACTAAGGTAATTATTAGGGAGCAGGTGCTTTAACTTAATATTTCACTTTTCCCGATGTAAGGATGATACAGGGAAGGTCTTGGTTCAAATCTCTGCCTAAGCTAACATTTTGCGCAAAAAAGTTATTGTTAATTTTAGCGTCTGGAAGTGTTGTGATTTTGCATTAACATACATTGTAGGTGTATATATTGTGATGAATATTTTAGATGAATACTGAGAACACAAACAGCTTGTAATATCAGTTACTCGAGTTCAGTGAGTATTTTATTTTTCATACGCTTTTACAACAAAGCCCCAGAAAATATGCAGGACCTATCTATCAAATAGTATAAAATTTTTATTGAGCAAAAGTTATTTGAAAAGAATAGCTATAATATTAAAAAATACAAATGATTTATATTCATTATCATAATAATCCCTGGGAATGAGACGATCGCCCTGCTGTTTCTAAATGTTTTCGTATTTGATTGTACAACACATACGAGTACTCTTTGGGTGAACCAGTGGTAAAAGCATAAATGTCTTTCAATAAACATTCTTGTAAACTATAATTAATAAAAATTGTCCTATTCTATTATATAAGATTCATGTTAGTATCAAATTGTTAATAGGATTTAAGAGGAGGTCGAAATATGCCGTCATCGTACTACCTAATAATTACTTTGATTACGGGCGGAGTTCGTGCAGATGAACCTTTCCCGATTTAGAGAGAGTTTGCCTTAATCATTACGGTTGATAAGCTCATTGACAATCATACCACACATTTCGCACCTTTGACACTTTGACGTTATACCTACATATTTTGGTAGCTATATTTTTCAACAGACTTCAAAAAGGAGTAGAGGTTTACAATTCTTCGAAATCTTTTTTATGTATGTTCACCGATTACTCGAAGACGCCTAAATCGATTTCAAATATTCTTTTTTTTTTGTTTTATTTATTTTCTATTTAAATTTTATCGAAATCGATGGAGCGGTTTACAAAAAAATCAACAATAAATTATATTTAAATATTGAAGTCGGTTGTACAACATTTTTAATTTTACCACTTGTGGAATAGCTATTTCGAAATATAAGAGCTAAGATAATAGCTATTTAGAAATGTAGTAATAGGTTCCCTTACGCAACCACTACACAACAAGAGATTATATAAGGTGTTCGTAATTTTTAATAAGAGTTATTAATTTTATTTCCTAACTGTAATGAAGTAAGTACAAGCGCTCATCTAGACACAAACCAATTTAAAATGCAATGCCCTTAAGTGAAAAATAATTAATACCATGACCGAAAACTCAAAGAGAAAATATAGTTTGAAAAAAAAATAGAAAAGATACCTGCTTTAATCTATTGTTACATATTATACATATTCTAAATATCAAATATATTCTCAATTTGTATACTCTTTAATAACAATGACGAGCACGTGAAAACGGTCCATACGGGTAAATCAAGTTTTGCAAGACTCGGCATATTTTCAAAACCCCTTAGAATTCTATTGCTAATGGTGATAGTTAAACACGTAATTAATTGATTGGGACTTTTTTGTACCTTTTTGTTGTACTGGTACATCTCTTATACAATCTCTTATGTATTCTTTGTTAGAGGAGTTTTGGCAGGAGGAGTCCATGAAATGCACTTAATAGGTGAACTACTTTTACACGTGGTAGAGCCAAGCTGCAGCTATATTAGTAGTATAGTTGTAGCACGAATGGGTCGGCTCGACCGGGGAAGGACCACGCTCTCACAGAATACCAGCGTAAAATAGCAGCTTGACGCTGCTGTGTTTCGTATGGTGAGTGTAGAGAACCGGAGACCCTTTTTACTGGCATAGAGGTGTTCATTCTTAGTACTCACGGATGACAACGCATCTGCATTTTGATTCGCAAACGAGGATAAATGTAGATGTCTATGGGCCACAGCAACCACTTACCATCAGGTGGACTGTGTGCTCGTTTGTCACCCTATTCTATAAAAAAAAATTAACTCGCTTGTTACTCTATAAATATATTTAAAATAAATAAATGAACGGAACGTTTCATAATATTTATTTTAAGACATTTCATTAAAAAAATACAAGTATAACTTTTGATTGTCTCCATAGGAAATGTAGCCTCCTGCTATTTAATAATATAATTGCTAGCTCTAAAGCTTTTTCAGAGTAACGGAGTTTGGGGTAACGTTTCGAGGTCTTAAAGTACTAACCACAATTTGCGCTCCAACCAGATCTGACAATTCATTTTTGACGATTCAACAGAACTGGAAGAGTCTTCAGATCTTATGAAGTCCAGAAAGTTATTTTCGAGCAAGATTTTAGTTATTTATACTTTGTGAACAGATGCAGAGTCTTACAGGAAATTCTACGGTACATTTTTAAAAAGTTAATCAATGAGAGACCTTTTACATAATCCATGGTAGTCTGTTCAATACTTTGTCTTTTTTATTAGAAAAACGTTACCTCCACACTAGGATTTTCTCTTGTATCGTGGGGGCAGTTTACATACATAAATTTCACAAGGACAAACATCCAGACCCGGAACAATTATTTGTAGGCCATACAAATACTTACTTACTTGTTCCGTGCGGGACTAGAACCCGCGGCTCTTAGCGCAGCAACCCATTGCCAAGCTACTGCGCCACGGAGCCGTCAACTTTGGCAACTTTGACCGAAGTCTACTCTCTTTTCACATAAAGAAAGCTTTCTGGCTCCTATATGATCACCACCTCAATATTTTCAACAAGTTGCAAAGAATATTTAGAACAGTGAGAACATACTTTGTTTTCTACTAATTGTAGTGCTCGTCAACGTTATCAAAAATCACATGTAAAAATCATATTTCTGTGTCTTTCACCAGCATATCGGTAAAGCAAGAATTTTATTCGATCCCTTTTTTATGCTACAGGGACTGATTTGAGGCATATCCTGTATAAGCACCTAGCTCCAAATTTAGTTTAATAATTCATTACAAGGTCTATGCGGGACTCGTCATTTTACACGATAAAATTCTTGGATTGTTAATATTAGTTGTTTCGTCAAATTTTGGTGTTGACAGCGTTCACAGCCTACCTGATCCTAACAGCACGGGGTAGCCCCTTTATCTTTTGTGGTCTTTAGCAGATAAATTTTAGGGTGCCTGTCGACAGTGTGATGAACAAACATACAACTGATGCCTTAGATTTTGAAACGTCTTAAAATATGTGGCGGCTTCATACCCACTTTTTAGTCGCACACTGCTTCATAATGTAATGTAACAAGAAAAATAATTTTACATGCTGATGGTAAATCGGTAGAAGTTTTTTACATAATATAATATGCTTCCCAAATTAGTATGATTTGAACTTATGTTCATACCTCATAGCCTCTACAGTACTAGCATAGTAGTAGCATAGTAAGTTATAATAGTCAAGGATTTTAATAATTTCTATTTTTACCAAGGTCTACATTTAAACGCAAATAACTTAGTTTACAGGACTTGAATTTCAAAATCTACATCTACTACGTAATTTGGATTTAAAGGAAAATTTCTTGACACAAATACCTAACGACACGTTCGCTAATTGCACCAACTTGGAGACCCTTGACTTATCAAAAAATAAATTAAGGTTTCTCAATGCCTCTACGTTTCGAGGGCTAGGAAAACTAATTTCACTTGTACTGTCTGAAAACCAACTCTATGAAGTTCACTTTAAGACATTTTCAACTTTAAAGAATCTAACAACTTTGTAAGTTAAAGTACCAATAATAAATCTTCTCAATTATAATAAAATAAATATTCTCAATAAATTTCTGAATTGGGAATTCACTCCAAGCCTTCTTATTAAGAAAATCAATATTAATACGTTTTACAGGTATATAGACAACAACATGTTTCCTTCGTTACCGTCGCGTACTTTGGATTATATGCCAAAGCTAGAAAATGTGAAACTATCAAATAACCCTTGGCACTGCGACTGTCACACCTTGTACATATCAGCGTAAGTTAAAAACAAAAACTACACCCATGTTGTTCATTCATCATCATGTAACTTATACATAAAAATATAAGTAATCTGTATAAATAAAATGATAGATGTTTGCAGATGCGCGCGCATCACGGAAAAACTACTGGATAGATTTCAATTAGGTTTTCTAAGTTTTATTTCTTAGAGACTTGGCCCTTATCAAAAAAATGCGATATCTAATTAATTATTTATTACAAAACAAGGGTTATTTAATATAAAATTATTAAAGTATTAAGAAACAACGATTTTTATACGGGGTTTTTCACACGTACAGTTTTACAAGTTAGTTAAACCCAGATAATTTATATATTTTAACTACAAACGAAGCGACGAATAACATTGTTTACAAAGAAATTTTGTATGCGATATTTTTGATCTTTTTTTCCTTCGCACATACGATAATTTTGTCAATATATACAACGCGGACGATGTCGCTTATATCGGCTAGTGCTTAATATTCTTCTTCATTCTTCAACTACACTTGAGGTACAATTAGGGAGTGATTTAGGTACGAAAGATATTGTCGAATGGCGGATTTGAACTCATGACTTTTTAGTTACGCAGTCCATTTATTTCGATAGAATTCAACAATAATATATTCTAGAGTAAATTAATATTAATTTATTATAAATATTATTGGCATTAAATTAATATTAGAATTAATTTACTACTATTATCGTCTGTAGCGTCTGTATAAACCATATCGTTACCGTTACCGTTACAGTTTCACCCTATTAAAGGCCACTGAAGAACATAAGCCGCCCCGATAGATTGCCTCATGGGGGGATATTTGCCATAGTTGCCACGTTTGGCAAGCGTTTTTAGGAAGTCGCTGCTGCTTATCTCCAGATATGTTTCCCACCGTCGCCTCTTACAACATGCATGGGATGATATGGTGTGGGGGACATTCCTTCACCGCCATTCACGACTATATACCATGCTAAGACTTTAAGTTATGTACTGATAGTTATTAGTTAGTTAATTAGTAGTTAGTGATAGAACATTTAATGTCTACATCATCATCAAAGATAGCTTTTATGTCGTCTGCTAAACAAATGTCGATTGGCTCATACTTAGCACGTTTGAGCGAAGAGCCGACACCGTTGCACTGGTATTGCCACTTTTTACCTGCTCACTATTTATTTTTTTTACTTATTATAAGCCAGTGCTTGACCATAATCCCACCTGGTGGTAAGTGGTGATTCAGCCTTAAATGGTAAATCGCACTGCCTTATCGTAACAAAAGCCTATTCACTCTTGCCTTGAAGACGCCCAGATTGTATTCAGACAGAAAGATAGACGCGATATCTTTATTTAATATAAAATTAACGCGATATTAAAAATAAAATGACATTCCTCCACCAGATGGAAGTTAGCGTGGAACATTCTTTTTTTTAACGTACCACCATGAGAGTCAATCAATTTTTGTTCGATAACATGACTTTTCGTAACTTTCATCATGAGGGGTATACGGAACTGAGACGTGGTCCTTCACTGCTGGCCGGATGAGGAAGCTCAAGGTCGCTCAGCGAGCTATGGAGAGGGCTATGCTCGGAGTTTCTCTGCGTGATAAACTCAGAAATGAGGATATCCGCAGTAGAACCAGAGAGACCGACATAGCCCAACGGATTAGTAAGCTGAAGTGGCAATGGGCCGGCCATATAGCTCGAAGAACCGACAACCGATGGGGAAGAAAGGTTCTCGAGTGGCAGCCTCGTACCGGCAGGCGAAGTGAAGGGCGTCCCTCCACTAGATGGAGTGACGACCTGGTAAGATATGCAGGAAGTCGATGGATGCAGGTGGCTCAGGACCGTGCTTTGTGGCATTCTTTAGGGGAGGCCTATGTTCAGCAGTGGACTTGTGAAGGGCTGTAATGATGAATGATGATGATGAACATGACTTTAACTATAGAATGTTACTACATTCTATTGATGATGCTATTACTCAAATAGGATCCCTCTATCTCAAAATTAATTATAAATTAACTAATAGCAATAGACAGAAAAATTACGGATTCTACTGGAGCATTTAAGGAGCAATTAATTGTCATACAGTTTAATTTTATAAAGTAGATATTTTATATTTTATAGCAATATTAAGTTTTCGATGCTTAATTTTTTTTAATTAATTATAAATTAAGTAATAACAATAGAGGTGGAGCAATTTCGGATTCTGCTGGAGCATTTAAGGAGCAATTAATTAACATACAGTTTAATTTTAAAAAGTAGATATTTTATAGCAAAATTAAATTTTCGATACTTAATTTTTTTAATTAATTATAAATTAAGTAATAACAATAGAGGTGGAGCAATTTCCGATTCTGCTGGAGCATTTAAGGAGCAATTAATTAACATACAGTTTAATTTTAAAAAGTAGATATTTTATAGCAAAATTAAATTTTCGATACTTAATTTTTTTAATTAATTATAAATTAAGTAATAACAATAGAGGTGGAGCAATTTCCGATTCTGCTGGAGCATTTAAGGAGCAATTAATTGGCGTACGGTTTAATTTTAAAAAGTAGATATTTTATACCAAAATTAAATTTTCGATACTTAAATTTTTTTTAATTAATTATAAATTAACTAATAACAATAGAGGTGGAGCAATTTCGGATTCTGCTGGAGCATTTATGGAGCAATTAATTGGCATACAGTTTAGTTAAAAAAAAGAATGTTCTACGCTAACTTCCATCTGGTGATTCCTCCAATTTTGTTTCGATAACTGCTATAACTTTTCAACTGTTTAGGATTTATTATTACAAAAACAAAACAAAAAGATACTCAATCGTCATTACCTAACCATTTTATGATTGGATGGAAAACAATCACTCTTATTAAAGCTCGTAAAACGTATTTTACTTGGGTATTTTATGTGCTTTCAGTTGGGTGCGCTTAAACGAAATGAAAATTTGGGACTATTCTCCAACCTGTATATCGCCGTGGTATCTCGAAGGTCACTTTTTGAAAAAGCTTAAATTTCCTGAACTGTGTTCGGGACAATGGGCAAGCATGGTTAACCTATCGCCCCGTCTTCCCATGCAACAACTCTTGGCTCTTAATGTTACTGTTAATCGGAAGCCACAAAGAAGTTTAGGGGATGATGAAGATGTAACTTCTGAAGATCAATGGAAATAATTTTAAATATAAAAATATTATTTTGATTCTAGTGTGTATAAAACTTTATATGTAATCTCAATTAAATGTAATCTATATCTATAAATAAAATGAAAGTGTTTGTATGTAATATTGAAACTGGTGTCTGTTAAGCTCGGGAGGTTATTCGCATGATATTAAGGCATAAATAACAATGTTTCAAATTTTTGGTCCATCTGTCTGTCTGTTTGTCCTGGCTAATCTTCTGAATGGCGGAACCGAATATGATAAAATCTTACAAAAAATTGAGAGCAATGCCAAAGGGGCCATATTTGTATCTAGGCCATATTTTATCCGAAAAACTTGGCCATTTAAAATAAAAACATAAATTAATAAAAAAATATATTATTTATTTAATTTGCTCTTAAATCTAAACGTCCTATAATATCCAGGCGAAGCCGAGGCGGGTCGCCAGAATTAAAATAAATTAGCCAATATTAGCGATAGTGTACAAGCTGTAAAGTACTCGAAACGTCGGGAATATAAAATAAGAAATAAAATCCATAAAAACTAGTTTTATTTAAATGTGTAGTGTTCGTGTAAATATATGAAATCGTTAACACTGCCATATTCCTATGTTTTGTTTTTCCGTAAATAAATTATTTTATAAACTAGTCACCTAAAATCACTAAATTACTTTACCATAAAAATTATTACAAAAAAAAATAAAAGAAAAAAAAATAGATATCGCCATAATCCTTCATAAATTGTTCTTAAAAAAATTTAATCAGCCCAGTTTCGGAGGAGGAAACATCGGAATACGCGATTATGTTTATGTTAATTTTTCATAGGTATAATCAGTTCGAACTGCACTTATAGTTGTCATTCTCGCGCTATAGACGGGGAGTTATGAGCGCAACAGCAATAGGTCTGTTAAAAACCTGTTATTCCAATGTCTTGCCGCCCGCATTTAATTAATATAAAAAGTACTTATCAATTTATTGCCGTGTAGTGACGGTGTAAGAATTTAAATTACTTGCACCGCTACTACATTATAACAAATTCCAACCCACGCTTGGGAGGGGGATAGAAACCGCAGTATTATTTTCAGTTAATATCGGGCTATGCTGCCCATCTCCTGTTTCTTTTCAGTCTATCGCCTCCCCCATATTCATCGACAACCTGCCCAACATGGTTGACTTGACCGGTAGAGAATACCATCTAGCGTGAAGTCCGCTCCTTGTCTTGATTTGACTGGTATGCCATCTGGAGTGGAGTCCGCTCTTTGTTACCCTTAATAAAGATTATAAACTCCTTATAGGTCTTACAGTGTGGAAGTGTCCTAAGAGAATTTATAACCACATATATGGCGACTTTGGAATATATTTTTTTATAGAATTAGGGTGACAAACGAGCACATAGTCCACCTGATGGTAAGTGGTTGCTGTGGCCCATAGACATCTACATCTATCCTCGATTACGAATCAAATTGCAGATGCGTTGTCACCGGTAAGGACTAAGATGGAATGCCTCGTTTGCAGTAAAAAAGGGTCTCCAGTTCTCTACACTCACCATACGAAACACAGCAGCATTATGCTGCTATTCGCTGGTATTTGTGAGAGCGTAGTCCTTCCCCGGTCGAGCCGACCCATTCCTGCTACAACTATAACAGTAATATAGCCGCAGCATGGCTCTACCACGTAAATACGCCAAACAGATCTTAAGACTACCGATAAATAGTGGTATATCCATACTAAACCAACCCATATTACTCGCTTACGCTAAGCATAAAATACCCAAGCCGGCGACGGAAGGCAGCGTCAAAGTTGCGAAATGTCTGCTACTACGGCAACTGGTCAATCCGCCTGTCAATCTTGACGATTTTTTTATACAGAATTAGGGTGACAAGCGTGCACACAACCACCTGTTGGTAGGGTCTCCGGTTCTCTACACTTACCATATGAACACAGCAGCATTAAGCTGCTATTTCACGCTGGTATTCTGTGAGATCGTGGTCCTTCCCTGGTCGTGCCGACCCATTCGTGCTACAATCATAAGATAGCTGCAGCGTGGCTCTACCACGTAAAAACTATTATGGTAAATCCCCCAAAAAATGGGAAACGCCCATACCCAGCTGTTGACTTTCGCGGGTTAATGATGAAAAATAAGACTTTTTCAGTCCACTGCTGTATTACACTATCTTCCGACAGGCGGCAATTATTTAAAGGAAGTATTAGTAAAAATCTTAAAGCCATAAGCCGCACATATATATTAAACTAGAGAAAAATAATTGTGAACGCCTGGTAGAACGAATCATTGGTGCGGTAAAAGTCCATACCGCATACTTCATTGCTAGGCCATTTGGAAAGAATGGGCAGTGAAGCAAGCGAACTTGGAAGTGACCGATGGCCAGTCGGTTGTCCCAGGTACCGCTGGATATATGAAATAAGAAAGCACCTGCTTTCAGATCCGTGACTGTTAGAAGTTATCGCATGACTGGTTTCAGTAGCGTCTTTTACTGTCGGAGGCCTAAACTTATTTTGGGTCACGGGTTACGGCACCAAGTAATTTAGTGAACTGTGTAGCTTATTCATAAAATTTAACATCATATATATATATATATATATATATATATATATATATATATATATATATAATATTGAGGGGCACTTACCGGGATAAACACTATTCTCTCAAGTTGGACTAAACTGTACACAGTGTACAAAATTTCATTGAAATCAGTTCAGTAGTTTAGGAGTTCGTCGCGGACAAACAATGTGACACGTAATTTTGTTATATTTACTTAGCCATCCTATACTGTATTTTATTATTACTCCATTACTATTATAAAGAAGTACCCAGAGATGTTTATAAGCATGTGGAAGTGGAGAGGTCTGAAACTATTGATACGAATCTGAAAATTCTTTCACTGATAGAAAGCTACAATATTCCTTTGTGACATAGACTACTTACTTATATCTTATTACGTTTAAAAATAAGAAATGAAAATAACTTTGCTTTTAACCAGGTTAAAACCATACAGAAAACTAAGCTAATTATTAGGGAGCGGGTGCTTTAACTTAATTTTTCACTTTTCCCGATGTAAGGATGATACAGGGAAGGTCTTGGTTCAAATCTCTGCCTAAGCTAACATTTTGCGCAAAAAAGGTATTGTTAACTTTAGCGTCTGGAAGTGTTGTGATTTTACATTAACATACATTGTAGGTATATATATTGTGATGAATATTTTAGGTGAATACTGAGAACACAAACAGCTTGTAATATCAGTTACTCGAGTTCAGTGAGTTTTTTATTTTTCATACGCTTTTACAACAAAGAAAATATGCATGACCTATCTATCAAATAGTATAAAATTTTTATTGAGCAAAAGTTATTTGAAAAGAATAGCTATAATATTAAAAAATACAAATGATTTATATTCATTATCATAATAATCCCTGGGAATGAGATGATCGCCCTGCTGTTTCTAAATGTTTTCGTATTTGATTGTACCACACATACGAGTACTCTTTGGGTGAACCAGTGGTAAAAGCATAAATGTCTTTCAATAAACATTCTTGTAAACTATAATTAATAAAAATTATCCTATTCTATTCTATAAGATTCATGTTAGTATCAAATTGTTAATAGGATTTAAGAGCAGGTCGAAATATGCCGCCATCTTACTACCTAAAAATTACTTTGATTACGGGCGGAGTTCGTGCAGATGAACCTTTCCCGATTTAGAGCGGGTTTGCCTTAATCGTTACGGTTGGCAAGCTCATTGACAATCATACCACACATTTCGCACCTTTGACACTTTGACGTTATACCTACATATTTTGGTAGCTATATTTTTTCTTCAAACAACTTCTGACTTCAAAAAGGAATAGAGGGTTACAATTCTTCGAAATCTTTTTTTTATGTATGTTCACCGATTACTCGAAGACGCCTAAATCGATTTCAAATACTCTTTTTTTTTTGTTTTATTTATTTTCCATTTAAATTTTATCGAAATCGGTGGAGCGGTTTACAAAAAAATCAACAATAAATTATATTTAAATATTGAAGTCGGTTGTACGACATTTTTAATTTTACCACTTGTGGAATAGCTATTTCGAAATATAAGAGCTAAGATAATAGCTATTTAGAAATGTAGTAATAAAATTACGCAACCACTACACAACAAGAGATTATATAAGGTGTTCGTAATTTTTAATAAGAGTTATAAATCTATAATTTTATTTCCTAACTGTAATGAAGTAAGTACAATCGCTCATCTAGACACAAACCAATTTAAAATGCAAAAGTGAAAAATAATTAGTACCATGACCGAAAACTCAAAGAGAAAATATAGTTTGAAAAATAAAATAAAAAAGATACCTGCTTTAATCTATTGTTACATATTATACATATTCTAAAAATCAAGTATAATCTCAATTTGTATACTCTTTAATAACAATGACGAGCTCGTGAAAACGGTTCATACGGGTAATCTTGAAGCGTCAGTAGCCTAATGGCAGGGCGCGGACCGCGAACTCGAAAGGTCGTGGGTTCGAATCCGCCATTCGACTACTGTCGTGAACCACTTCTAACACAAGCATTTTAAGCTTACCAGAAGTGGTTAAAGGGAATATTAGTAATGTTTAACAGCATTACTAGTATTTTTATAAAAAAAAAAATTCAAGTTTTGCAAGATTGCATATTTTCAAAATCCCTTAAAATTCTATAGCTAATGGTCATAGTTAAACACGTAATTAATTGATTGGGACTTTTTTGTGCCTTTTTGTTGTACTGGTACATCTCTTATACAATCTCTTATGTATTCTTTGTTAGAGGAGTTTTGGCAGGAGGAGTCCATGAAATGCACTTAATAAGTGAACTACTTTTACACGTGGTAGAGCCAAGCTGCAACTATATTAGTAGTATAGTTGTAGCACGAATGGGTCGGCTCGACCGGGGAAAGACCACGCTCTTACAGAATACCAGCGTAAAATAGCAGCTTGACGCTGCTGTGTTTCGTATGGTGAGTGTAGAGAACC